GTGTGTGTGTGTGAAGGCTGCGGAAAAAGTTTCTTTATTTATTTTTGTTCAAAAGTTTTGCTACACAAAAATTTTGGTAATTAATTATGTTTCATAAATATTGCACAAGGATCTTGATATTAGCTGCAATACAATGAAAAGCTTAAACAAATTTTATGGTTTCTTGATTTTCGTTTCGCATATCTTCGTGTTTCATTTGAGTTTTTTTTTGTTGTGCTAAAACTTTATCAACAAAACTAACTGAAAAAAAAAAAAATTTTGGAAAAAAAAACTGCACTTTAATATAAAAAGTAAAAATTAATTTTTTTATTTTTTCTTTTTTATATTTCACAACATTGTTAAGTTTTGATACATGTGCTTAAATTTAATCAGTCAGACGTTGTCTTCTTAATAAGGGAGGGTACCACGACGAAGCATTGTTTTGAGCTCAAGTGGGCTCTCTTGCCAAACAAGAAAGCGCCACTCCAACCTAATGAGGAAGGGAAATTTCTTTAGTTTTTTGTTACTCATACGCACCGTGAACCCCACCCATTGATATGGTATTTGTGCAATTGTAAAAAATATTACCATTCTTTGTGGACAAGCAAATAGTGAGTGGTCAAGTCAGTTCAAGTGCTGAGGCGGCAAGGATCCACTCACTATTGGGGTTTGCATGGCCAATCTATTCAAAGTACAGAAACTCTGACTTACTACACAGAAGCAAATCATAAGTATAAAGGTTAATATCGGTCGTTACAGGGCGGAACTGGACCATAGGACGGCTTGGAGTTAGGCTTACGGCCTACCCTATGGTATTTCCTGCAATGCGTGTCTACCAGCACTCAAAGAAAGCACACCAAAATACGTAATGCGTCTATGTACAGGTTTGATCAGAATTAAGCTTAAGTTTCTGGGAAATCCAGAGTCAACATACTTGGCAATACCTCTAGCATTAGCATTAGTCAGACTCACGAGTTTATAAATGCTACTGACTAGTTCTAGCTTAACCTTGTCTCTACTAAACACTATTACGAGATTTTGTGAATACAAAACAACTTCTTTTTTTAGCTAATTGAGGAGGATTCTTTCCTCTCTCCACCACAACTAACTAAGAAATATTACTACATTTGTATTTGTCTGCAAACACCACTGATGATGAGTATTTGGTAATATTCGAAATAGCGTTGTATGGTCAGCCAAATTTCAATAAATTAACTCAAATCTTTGTTGTTGTTTTTTTATTTCTATACGAACCCTTCTTACTATAACTATGTTTTGGTATGTATTTTTCCAGTTGGTTATTTAAACTGGAAAAATTATTTAACCCCCCTTTTTTTTTTTTTTTTTTAGAAAAATGCACAAGTATTCCAGGGTGAGTGTAAATCAAAAAATAAAGAGCAGTAGATAGTTTGCTTCAAAAGAGGATGATTGCAGGAAAATTGTGCGTGATAGAAGTAAAATTCTGATATAGATAATTTGTACGAGATAATAGAATATTGATGTACACATTATATTGAAAAGAAATATACTTTCTTGAGTTAAAAGAATTTTAGAAAAATCTTAAAATAATTTAGATTTTTCTCAAAAATGACTCACATTTTTTAAAATAAGTTTTAATCAATATAATTTAATTTTTTTTTTTGCAACATTTTTTTGAATATTTAATCAGAAAGTATTTATCAATTTTTTAATACAAAATTTATTAATTTAAAGTTATTGGATTTTTTTTTGTTTTTGATCGGAGAGAAAAAAATCCGTGGTACATCTCTATTCTTTTAAAGCATTCTATGAGTTCTGGAATTCTTTGTTTTTTTAAAAAAGTGACTATATTTAAGTACAAAGATATATTAGTCAATAAATGAAATTATATTTAATTATCTAAGAACTTGATATATAAGACAAGCTATTTGAATAAATTATTTTTAAAATAGTGAAAATTTTTTTATAAATCCCGATATATTGAATAAAATATTTTGATTTAAATAAATTGTTTACGAGATATTGAAGGTATTATATAGATATCCAAATTTTTTTATTTAAGTGAGTTCTTTCTAAAGTATTGAAGGTTTCTGTGGACACTGATGTAAGCTCAATAAGATTTTTTTATTTGTATGGATTTATTTTTAATTATTGAAGGCTTTCTTATATACTGAGTTTAGTAGAATTCAACTAGTTCTAATATTAATATAGTAGCAATTAACTATTAAGGAGTAGGTTTTATGTGGTATTAAATTGTAATGTTTTAAAAATATTTTAACCTTAAAGATTTTTATCATTTTCTACTTATAACATTAATTTATTTTTGGATCTACTAAATTTTATTATTTGATTGTTTCGAGTTCACTTTCTATCAATAATTGTATTAAAGGTTTATGTGAATGTTTTTAGAAGAACAGTTTTCTATTTAGTTTTTATATATGTATTTATGTATAGTTTTTTTTTTAAATCTGGAAAATCTTATTACAAGCAAATTTAACATTTAGTAATCTTTTCTCCAAGTCTAAGAACACGACTTGAAATGCTTGTGGTTATGTGATAACAGTAGGAAAAAAAGGAGTTTTTAATAGAATGTGCAGAATAGTATTTGCATAAACTAATTTAAGTTAAGACAACAATACTCATTAATCTTTATAACTTCTAAAGGAAGAAATAAGCTTTTTAATACCTCACAATATACACAGATTTTTGTATATTATTTAAATATTTTTTTTCATTTACTAACACATTTCGGATATTCAAAATATCTCAAACGGTAACACACCTAAGCTAACTCGGAATATCTCTCTCTCTCATACCACAAACTCTTAATTCTGTAAGTCCGGTAAATCTCTAGCGATGATGAAAATAAAATTTTTTAAATTATTTACATTATATTCATTTTAATTAAATTATTAATAAATTATTTATATTTAATTGTTATTTTGATTTAATAATGTTTTACGTACATAAGTTTTAAACGTTTTTTCTTGGTATTAAATAGGTGCTTCAACTTAAGTTTAATGTTACTAGAATACTTATTAATTAAAGACAAAGCATCCCTAGAGCCTAAAGTTTAACGGTATTTTTGCCCGAGTCATATAATATAACAATAATCCATTGATAAAGTCAAGATAAAAATAACCACATCAAGTTTTTATATTCGAACATAAATATCCTGTCGATATATAGCCAATACCTTATAGGTATTGAAATATTGGGTATCGGGTCGAATATCATATCTGTCCTCTATCATTTTTTGTTTTGTTGCATACAAATACGTGTAACAGCTATTGTTTGAACGCCCTAAAATATTTGAACAGATTTGAAAAGATTGGTATGATGGACTCAAATGCTCGAACACAATTCGGAAATGGTCTGAAGTACAAATAACTTAAATAATCCTTGGAGGTCTGATATAAACATATTATTTAATCTTACTTTTATATAATAGTGGTTTTAAAAAAACAAAAAATTTAATTTTGCTTTATTTATAAACAAAAAAAAAAAATAAAAAGAGAAATAATGTCTCCTCTTCGGTACATTTCGACTTAGTATTTTTTATGTACTTATAAACTAATTTAATTATTCATTTATAAAATTATTTTATTTCCTCTTCCAAAATGAGTTTTGTGCTTGAAAATATGTATGAATATAGCACTGACATATATATAGTTTTTTCGCTTTAGCTCTGGTTTGCGTTATGAGAGAGATATAGACTTTCTTTTTTTGATTTTCATTTCGGTTCCGATTTCAAACGTTGGTTGAACTCACATATAAGATAATAAGTAAGAAGAAGCATATTTAGGATTTAGTTCTGGACTTTATTCATAAAGCTATAAGGGGCTCTGTGTAATCAATAGTGAAACTGGTACAATAGGTCTCTTCTGGCCGCAGCACTTCTGGCTGTTGGGCGATTTCACGTCTAAACTTTTAATAATAATAATAATAGGTATACTTTCATTAATGCACCGGTGTTATTTGGTATAAGTTAATATAGTATAACTAAAGTTTGATCAAATAAATTTTTAATTATTTAATTATTTTTATTTTATGTTATACTTAAAAACTGCTTAGAATTGATTTAACAAAACTTCTACATCTGTAACATATTTGGGATCCATAGTTTGTTCCGACAAATTAAGATGCCCTTTAGTACTAATGTAGATGGTAATTATCTTTAATGTTTTATTTATAAAGTGAAGTATTAATAAAATTATTAAAGACAATAAAATAATAATAAAGTAGTAAAAATTATATAAAGGCTGTAAGTTCTTCTCATTTAGTTGTCCTAGCTAGGAACTAACAATATGTATTATTGTATGTTAAGATTTTTTAATTAAATATTAAATATAAAATAAAAATGATTACTCCAATTCAAACAAATGTTAAATTAAAAATTAATTTTATATATTAAATTCTTAAGCACTTACAACAATACAATTATGATGTAAAAATTAAATATAAAATATTTTATATGATATATAATATAGATAAAAATTTTACTGGTAAAATAATTTTTTTTTAATATAATATAAGTTTTAAATTAAAATTACTGTGGTGACAAAATATTATTACAAAAGTTAAAAAAAAAATATGTAAGGATTATATACAAATACTAAGGATTTCATGTAATTTAATTAACAGTTAAAAAATGTTTTTATAAATGAATTAGTTCAATTTATTTATTCTCTTATTGAACTTTTTAATAATAAATATATATAATTTTTTTTATATTAAAGTTTGAAATTATTATTTTTCATTATTCGATATTATAACAACTTATTATTATATATGTTTATATTATTTTATATTGATATATATATTTAATTGCATTATTTAATATATTGAACTTTTGTATAGTAATTTTTCTTTGAGTGTAAGTCTCTTCATTAGCGACAAAAGCAAGGCACTGTTTTAGTTAAGTTTGTTTTCTTAGTTTAATATATAGTAAATCTTACATATACATAATATATATAAAAATTAATTAAAAGAAAAAGTAAATAAAAACAATTTATATATGAAAACAATAATGCTTAGAAAAATATAGAAAAATATACAAAAATTAGTAAAAAAAATTGTGATGTTAATAACTCTTCATAGCTGCACACGTCTTTAACTTATTGAATATTTGTTTGTTTATTGTTTGTTCGTTGCCTATGTAAGGACATGTCCATTCGGTAGCGATTATCTGATATAATTTACTTAAATCTTTAATACTTCGATATTTTTATCATTATTTGGTTAATTATTTGCTCTTTGTAGTACTGTTTCGCCTGAATCCTGTCGTCACCGCGTTCCCACTAAATTTCTGTTTCGGTTGGTTGTGGTGTTGTAGCGCGTATGACTCGTTCTGGTTCGGGTGTCTTCGGCACAATACGATTGGCCAACAGTTTGGCTTGTTTTTCTAGAATTTCACGCTGATCTTTTGGTATCCAGCGTGAGAAACGTGATTCTGGTATGCCCAATTGATTACCGCGCGATAAGAGATCAGAACTGTTACTGTTGCTGGGCTCGGAGCTGCCGTTATTGTTCGCATGTTGTGAGTTACGTCCACCAGCAGTTGCCATAACATTGCGTATGGGCATTGTGGTGGGATTGTAGACACTACTCTCACGATCAGTTGCATATTCGAAAGAGTCATCCTCATCGTCGCCATGACGCCGTTGCACTGAAAGACGTTCTTCGTCATTGCTTATACGGTTTTGTAGTCCTTTCGATACTGGTTTATTGCCCAAAATGGTAACACCATTGGGGGTCTCCAGTAAGGCAACGTTTTGACCATGCGATTGTGTGCCCTTTTCACTAATATTATTTATGCATTTCGTAAATCGTAAATCGTATATATGTAATTGTAAAGTTGTAAGTTCATAATTTTCACAGTTTCGTATGAAAGAAATAAGGAAGAATATAGCAGAGAAAAAGGGGCGAATTAGCATTAAATAATTTTTTTATTAAAAATTTTTTTTTTTTTGTTTAAGTTTCGTGCTTCTAAAATTTTGATAATATTTTTAATTTAGTTCTGTTTTAGTAAACAAATTTTGACTGAGCGAGTGACAGTGACAGTGACAGTTTTACTGAATTTGAATGCCATTCAAAGAATTAATGATGCTGAGTAAGATGCGAGCGATTTGGGACGATACAAGTTACTTGATATAATTTCTATATTGCATATATTATTTATTTGTATTAAAAGTTAATAAGTAAATAATAAATAAGTCGATGAAGCATATCTTGTTTTTTTTTTAATTGATAGTTATATAGCGTTTTAATTTGAAATAAAGTTATATTTTTAATTTTTGAACTTAACATAGTTAAAGCATTTATTTTAGACTAATTTCAGAAATGCTAAGATGATGGACCTAAGAGCTTTTTTGTAGAACGCCAGACTTGATATTTGACGACTGATAATTTTGATGTGTATTCTTATGTATGTTGATGTTCACATGTATGTATGCATTGTGTACGTGTAATGAGTTATGAAACATAAAGTCTTATTAAAATAAAGGAAAATTATTATAAAATTACTTACAAAAGCTGAGTTACACAAAACTAAGATAAACAAAAATATTAGTGACTTATAAAAATAAAAACAAAAAAAAAACATTAAATAAAATAAATAATTTATATATAAATGATTCCCAAACAAATATTTAACTGAACATGCACATACTCAAGCTTAATATTTTAGTTAATTTCTCCAATGTAATTTACCGTGATTTTAATTTGATGTTAGTGAACTTTGCCCATCGGACGAAATCGTTTCAATTTAATATATAATTAATAACTAAATACCAGTAATACTTTGACATGCCAAAAAAAAAAAAAAAATAAAAATATATAATAAATTCGTTTATAAACTTACGTTTCAGTAGTTGAGGTCTTAAATGATTTACCTAAAAAAGAATAATAAAACTGTTTTTTAATATCAAAATACAAAGACATTAATTTTATAAATAAATTTTTTATATAATAAAAAAATTTCAAGAAAAAATTATATATAATATTTTAGTATATAATAATTGTATTCATGTATGAAAAAAATTTGGTCAAATATAAATCAGAGTTGAATGAGTAAAACGTGGCAAATGTACAATTGACATTTTTACTTGTTCACATAGCATATTTTCTAATGATTTAGTTCTTAAATTGGTTTTTACGTAACGATAAGTAGATTTTAATAGCTAAGAAGCTTTATGAAACTTAGAAACTATTTTACAAGAAGACAAAACAATCTTATGAAAATAAAAATATGCGTGAGAAAATCTTACACCCACTTCACACTGCGTTTATTAATGTTAATTAACTGCTTAATTAACTCAACATATTGTTGTTGTAGATCTTATTAATTTTTGCAATCGCTCTTACAACTCTCTTAAAATAAAACCACTTATAACCTATTCACACTACGCGATTTAATGTTGATTAACTCCTCAACCTTCTTAACTTGTACCTATTTTACAGATGTTTGTTCTTGTCGGCTCTCTAACTACTTTTTCATTGAACGAGACTAACGAAACCCTCTTATACTCAAATCACACTTTGCCAGCTTAATTGCTTTAACTGCTCAACCTTCTTAACTTGTTGTTGTTGTACAAGTGTATGTTGTCGTTAAGGCTTCTTAAAACTTTTTTATGGAAGGAAGCTAAAGGAACCCTCTTTATCCAATACGACAACGATTAAGTTGTAACTGTAGTACATGTCTTCATTGTTTTCAAGAGAAAAGAAACCTGTTACGTTCTTACTCTAAAATGTTAGTTTTTCTCCTTTGTATTCACCCATATTATAACACAATTAGTGGAGAAATTCTCACGTTATCCCAGAAAGTTAGTTGTCTCTTCTTTTCGCATGCTGATTTAAATTTTTGATTGCAGCGACTTTAAGACAATATGGAATAGGAATGCACACTTTAGATTTCTTTTGTAAGCAACCTTTAGTATGTCGTTTGGAAAATATATAAAAAAGTACATCCAAAATCAAACCTTTCTATATGAAGCTCCAAAGAATGTATAAACAATCTATTCTAAAAACATAAAAGTATAATGGTAAAGAAGATAATACCTCTCATATAAGAAAAGTAAAATAGGTTAAAGACGAGTGGAAGGGGAAGAGATATAATAATAATATAGTTTGTTCACACGATAAGACAAGAAAATAAACAATGGACCCAGAAGACTTGACCCTTTGATTGGGCTTAATGATAATAGTGAATAAAATTTGTTTAAAGCATATAAGTAATTCGTATTAGTCAGAATTAAGAATCACCTGATCTAAGCACATTTTTGAATAAAGAAAACGTCATCTTAAACTAGATAAACGTGTGGATATTAGCTACACATTACGAATTACGAATTACTGAAAGAAATCACGTTTCTAGAGTTTGAAAATATAAATTAACATATTTTGATAAGTCCGTGTGCAGACACATTCTTAAAGATATAAACAATATCGAAAAGAAATGCACTTAAAAGATATAGATGACCATGATATAGATATAGATGATATAATCAGGATCCATACCAGTGAACCATAATGAAGGTTATTATATTAAGGTCATACATATATATTATATATGATTATATCATCTATGTCTATGTCATGGGTCTTCTAACTTAACTGGCTTAACATATTGTTCGAAAGAGAAGCATATGTAAGATTAAAGTGGCTGGTCAATCTGAGCACTAATACTATGAACGATACTGTGTCTGTACTCAGGACCTAAACAACCGCTTTAAAGGAAGAATGAACAAGGCGTTATTTCCCGTTTTTGTAGAAGGAACGAATCTCACAAATCTGGGAACATAGCTACATCCTTAATTTTTAGGGATAAAATTTCTATCAGGCAAGTTAGATCTCAAGATTTTGAAACAAATTCTGACTTTATGTATGTATGTATGATTTCCAACATGTGTAAGTGCTTAAGAAATGATGGGCACTGAAACAACTTTGGCAAGTCCAAAATATGTCCAAAATATAATATGTACTTAAATACAAGAATATCATTATAAAGAATGATAAATGCAATAATAATATTATTTCTTGATGGAATATATATAAAATAATATATGGTACATAATATGCTTTAGGTCTTTCTTGTTTATATTATAACTGTTTCTGGTCTTGATTAAATTCCCTTTATGCTAAAATCTTTAAATGATGACGTCAGAAATGATTTGGAACAGGTTTTTGATAGTAAACATAAGAGTTTTTATGAGCATAAGGTTCTTCTAATGGAAACTCTTGTATAAATATTTTTAATTATATATATATTATATATGTGTTTTAAATGCAAGAAAAATAATTTTTTATAATTAAGAACACACAATTTATTAATAGCTTTAAAAAAATTTTTTTTTACATAGTAATTAAATATAGTAAAATATAAAATATATGTATATATATATAAAATAGATAATATGTAAATATATATTATAAAAAATTACATAGTACAAATTATAGATTATAAATTTTCAAAATGGAAAAACTTGCGAATTGCTATTATACAAAATTGCTATTGTTTAAACAAATGCAAAATTAAGTCATTATATTATTATAATTAAACAAATATTTGTTAATAAATACCATAACCTTACATTTACGGCAGGACTGAATGTACATAATTATTTGTTTAAAAATATAGTTTAAATTTGTCAATTGTAGAATCATATAGATTTGTTTTTAATATATGTTGAGTAGCATCGAATATGGTCCGATGTTAATATACAATATATATAAAAAAAAATAATATTTCTAATTGAATAAGAGATTCATTATTATTCGATTTATTTAAAAAAAAATATCAAAAGTGGGAGCTTTAAGACTTCAAGTACATACAGTTTCATTCATTTAAATATCATAATTAGGCTATTTTTTTAAAGAAAATATATGTGGTTAGAACGCCACACTTCACTGAATGTGGTGGAACTCATATTAAGTTATGTATTTTAAAGTTGTAGAAAATCTACTACGAAGGGGTCTAATTACAATAAATTAAAACATGCATTTATTTTGGCTTTACCATATATCTATTCAGGAGAATACATCATGTAACACTCAAAAGTCGTAAAAGCAACGAGAACTCATGAGGATAGTAAAACTAAATATTTTTGGGAAACTAGATATAGAAAACTGAGTTTTCAAATCAACAATATAGTTGTATGTAGTTGATATAGTTAAATAAGAGGGGTGTGGGGGGCAGGGGGTAAAACCAAAAGAAACTAACTACCGCAAGATTAAGTCGATTTAAATGATTGCGTTATATGTAAGGACTGCCAAAGTCGAGAATTCGCTATTGCGATCCTGAAGTCTAAAAAAAGCTCTGTTGAGCGATCGAAGCTAATATTTGAGGACAAAATTTCAGAAACAGTGAGAAGAAAAGAAAAATCACTATTACACTGACAAAAATCATACAGACTATACGTTAAAAGTGTAATAAAGGGGCTTGCTAAAAAAAACAAGTAGAAAATAGTTCTGAAAAATTCTATAAAGTAAATTTATAATATGTATTGATTCTGATTTCATTTTAATATATTTCAAGATAAGTGAGTCGTTGTCTGATGATATATAATACATATAGTAGAAGTCATAGATAATATGCAAGGCATTTTGAAAGGCAACATTAGCCTTTCGAAAAAAATGTATTTTTTTAACACTATATATTGTTATAAGTAAGAACTACTTTGAGTGATAATGTATTGGACGTGAAGTTCAATTTATTTTAAAGTTTAGATATATCTTGTCTAGTATTGTCATAAGTTAGAAGAAGTATTTTGAGTGAAAAACTGTTGGACGTTCACTTTTATTTACTTTAAAAATTAATTAACTGATTTATTCAACAAAGTTTATATTCTGGATATAAAGATATAATTTGACTTTTAGATTAAAGTAAAAAAAAAAACTACTAAAATATGATATATTAAAATTTTTGTTGACTGTAGCAAAGTCTAAGAACTGAAGTTCGAATTTGTGATCATTTTATTCTAGTAATAATACTCGTATTCGATTTATAGCGTTTAAGTTGAGATTAGGAGAAGAATTACATTAAATGTGGAGCTCTCGTTCTGTAATCCAAGAAGACGAATATCGTTCGCAAGATTAATAAAGGATTTTAAAATTTAACTGCTTTTTAAAAATTTTAAAAAAATTAATATTATAATGTTTATACTCATACATAAAATTAACAAAAATAAAAAACTATTTTAATATAATATACTTGGCTTAATATTTAAATACGGCATTCACAATGAAAATATTTATTAATTTTATATTATTAAAAATATCTAAATTGTGCTCATATTAAAATGTGCTTTGAGATAATTTATTGATTTATCATTGACAAATCTATGGAATTTGTTTTCTTAATTGATTTATTTTTAATATTGATTTATATTTTATATTATTTTAATGTATACTTCATTTTTTATTTCTTTTTTCGAATTAAAATTTTGTTTTTTTTTTATGTTGAATTTAGTAAGTAATTATGCAATGCATATTAGCTTATAATTAAAACTGGGGTAATTAAAATTAGAAAAAAATTACCAATAATTAATCGTTGTCATATTTAATATTTACTGTCTTCATTAAATTTGTCATGTATTTTTTATTTTTATAAAATATAAAAAAAAAAAAAAAATTAATTAACTACTTAATTTGACATTAATTTTAAATTAATTAAAAAATTTTTTTTTATTTTATTTATTTAAAATAATGCAATTTAAACGTTTTTGTCATGTAAGATGCAATAAAAAAATTTGAATTATTTTAATTCATTTTTAATTTTTTTAAATTTTGAAAATTGTTAATATTTATCTTTCGAAAATTTTCAATTTTTTAATAAAATATTTTTAAAAATTATATTTTGTATAAATAATTTTTTTTTTGTAAGTTCTTAATATTTAAAATTGTAATAAAGGTGTATTTAATGAAAACAGACAGCAAAGTTGTTTTTGGGCTCTATAATAACGCAATCTTTTATGGGCAAAAAAAAAAAAAAAATTAACTGAAGTGAAACTTAGAAAGGATCTAATAAAAATAAGTGTATAGTTATGATTTTGATTTTCTGGGTACTCCTATTTGACAACAGATTCTAGTAATAATAACTATTATCAGCAAGTTTCACCAATATGCTGTATGTTAGTATGGCATAGTTTTTGAGCTATCGCACACATTTTAAACAAATTTTTCTTATAAAAAACACTAAATGATGAAATGATTATCCAACACCATATTTATTGCTAAACTCACTACTATAAGTTAAGAAACTGAAAGCATTAAATTCAACAATAAATGTGGCGATCAACTATGAATTAACCGCCTGCATAACATGGTACCAAGCAAACGCGTTAAGCGTCATTTCTATAATCTAAACAAAAATTTCTTTTTTTTAATTGACGTTAGATACTTTTTGTAGTCTGTTGTTAGTGAAATCAATGTAAAAAGTCTATAACTTGAAACCTAAATCAAACTATATTAGCATATAGCATAGTGTATTGCTCAAAATAATTGACTCCACTAAAATCTGTTGTCAAATTGGGTTGCAAGAAAATTAGAATTGTGTCAGTATATATTTAATTAAACTTTAATATATTTAACCAATCTTAATTAATTTCATAATATATAAAGTGAATTTGTACTTATCATGATATGGAACTGTAGACTCTAACGGTAGTCAATACTAGTAGTAACTATAGAAAGGAAATTTAATCTGATGTTTTAAATTCTAATAGTTTAAGATAGATAAAAGTTGTCTCTAATTACTACAGTGTTTTTTTTTTTGTTGTTTT